GAAGCTCGTCCAACCGCCACGGGTGGCTGCGGGGCGGCTGGCGAGGGGTCCGGCCGGGAGCCGGGGCCTCGCGCGCTCCTCACGCCTGCGTTCGCACAGGACTGGCCGTGCGGCCCGGCCGCCGCGCCAGCATGGGCAAGGGCTACAAGGTGGTGGTGTGCGGAGCGGCGTCCGTGGGGAAAACGGCCATCCTGGAGCAGCTGCTCTACGGGAAGCACAGTGTCGGTGAGGAGCCTCGGCGTCCGCGCGCGGCGTCCCCCCTTGCCGGCCGTGCCGCACGGAGGGCAGCCCGCGGAGCGGGCTGGCCGTGCGGCCCGGCCGCCGCGCCAGCATGGGCAAGGGCTACAAGGTGGTGGTGTGCGGAGCGGCGTCCGTGGGGAAAACGGCCATCCTGGAGCAGCTGCTCTACGGGAAGCACAGTGTCGGTGAGGAGCCTCGGCGTCCGCGCGCGGCGTCCCCCCTTGCCGGCCGTGCCGCACGGAGGGCAGCCCGCGGAGCGGGGGAACGCGCTTTGCTTCCCACCCCCGGCAGCCCTGGCGTCCCCAGCCCCTTATCTGCCGGTTTTCAGAGGGGCCTCGGGAAAGGGGGCCTTTCTCCGTGTCCCCAGTTGTAAAGTACCCGAGTGCTTAAAAAGAAGCAAACGCAGAAAGCAGACAGCGTGCTGCTGCCTGCTTATGTAAGAGGTGCGTTGTTCCCTGGAAGATGCATTAGAGATCTGAAAAATAAGTAGACTTGGTGAGATAAGTAGAGAGACTGTTTAGACTTTTGCTTAGCTTTCTTAAAATTTTATTTCGCTTGGTTTTGGGTAATATTTAGGCAAAGTGCTGGGAAGAAGAACAGCTCTACTTGGCATTCCCTGTTCTGCTTGGAAACGTTTGTGCTGAGCTTCTCAGCTCCCTACAAAACCATCCTATGGAAAGCAGCTGGAGAGGTGCAGGGGGGGCCCGAGACTGGCTGAAGTCTCAAGAAGCCAAGTCTCAAGAAACTCTCCGAAGAAGCAAAATGAAGGCAAAGCCGCTTGCTCCCCGCGTTTCCACTTGACTCTGCTTTAAGGGCAAGGGCAGCCCCGTTCGGCCTGACAAGGGGTGGCACTAGGACTGGCACAAGGGCCTTTACAGAGGATGCCCGGGCAGGGGACGAGCATCTTTTGTTTGGGCTGGTTTATTAAGTGTAGGGTAAGTTTGGGGATAAATATTAGGATTCCTAGAGTTGTGCTTTGCAAGTGCTGTTCCCTTAACGTGAGCGGATGGGAGGGATTTGCTGGCAGCACGATACTGATCTGTGAGATCTGCGATACCGTTGTTTAAAGGGAGGATTTCCTCAAATGTTGAGGCAACGTCTGTTTTCAGCATCTTACCGCAATCCGTGCGCGTTGGCCCCTGCAGCGTTTGGGGCACGTCAGCGTGGAAGCTGCCGAGCGGGTACACACAGGATCCTTTCCTTTGCTGCTAACCTGCCTCTCATGTCCATTGAACTAAATGATTGTCCAAGCAGCATGAGCAAGACCACGTTGCTGAAATCTCCCTGCCTCTCGTTGCCTCCTGCCCGCGGCTCCTATCGGTAGCTGAGGGCGGGCGGCTGTCCGCGTGGTGCTGATTGGAGCTATTTTGGGAAGCAGCCAGCTCCACGATTACATAACGTCACGGAGACTCACTGACATAACCAGGGAGAGGCCTCGTGTTGGCGGCTGAGCTGTGACTGTCCCTTTATCACTTCTTAATGCTTCGCTCCTGCTCAGCGATTGTGCAACAAACCTTTTTTTTGCCCCCCTTCTTTTTTGTGCAAAACTCCATCTCAGCGGGTGCCTGACGCTGGTGTCACTACTGCAGCCCTGGCCCCTTCACATTTAAAGGGCACTTACTAAACCTTGGGCTGCGTTTCCTAACGCTTGTGAGCTCCGGAAAGCTGACGCGTCCCTCTTGGCTGCTGGCCTTTGCAGGAGGCAGCAAGGAGCAGCGTGTTTGCTGGGAGCCCGTCCGTGCGGAGCCAGCGAGCAGGGCCGCTCTCCGGGTACAGCGGGAGGGACACAGGCTGTTTGGGAGCCTGTGCTTCCCGACCGGCGTCAGGAGCAGCTCCCTGCGGAGCAGACTCGGGACACAGTGAGGGAGGCCGCCGAGCTTGGGCATGGCGCGTCTCCATCCTTGTCACCGGCCCCTTGCATTGGCAAGGGGAGCATTTGAATTTGGGTGCAGGCTGAGAGAGCAAAATCCAGTGTCGTCTTCCAAGATATCTAATACGTTGGAGTCTCCTCCTGGTAGTAAATCATCAGGAATCCCTGTCAGTGCTAATGTGCCTCCTGTTGACTTCTCTGTAAGAGGGAGTGGTGGCACAGCTGTTATCAGGGAAGTGATTAAGTGTCCTTGGAGGTTTCGTGCTGCTATATAAAGCCCTTGGCTCAGTAGCTCATGCTCCTGGCCACGTGCTTGGTGGTGCTCTTGTAGACCTGGTAGGGGGATGTTGCTTGTGGGTTTTTTTTGTTGTTGGTTGTTTTTTTTTTTTTTTCTTCTTTTCTTTCTTCTCCCTATTCCTAGAAAAATCTGTGGTTTCTCTCTCCCTGGTTTGTCATGGATAAAGGCACTGAGCATGGCTGTTGCTTATGTGGCCAGCAGTCTTGCAAAGGCACCAAGTTTGCTTAAGGTCAAAGGAGAAGAATTGCTAGAGAGGAAAATACTAGATCTTCCCCTAAAAAAGAAGCATGTGAGCAACAAAGGAACAACATTTGAGTTTAGGCTGGCTCTAAAACCAAAGAGGGGTGGTTTGCCTTGGGGCCCTGTGCTGTGAGAAGAGAGGGCGGGAAGAGGAGAGGCTGGTTGGAGCCTCTCAGAGTGAGGTACATATTGCATGGCGCCTCTCAGAGTGAGGTACATATTGCATGGCGCCTCTCAGAGTGAGGTACATATTGCATGGCGCCTCTCAGAGTGAGGTACATATTGCATGACGCCTCTCAGAGTGAGGTACATATTGCATGGCAGCCTGTCTGGGACAGCTGGGGAGGGAACCTGAACGGAGATGTTTGAAATGGGTGTAGGTTTATCTCTGAGTTACGTGGGGCCAGGATTGCCCAGGGTTGGCCCAAGTGGTTGTTCAACCTTGCACATGTGCATGTGGCCTTCTGCCACAAGGGACTATGCCATTTTTTTTTTTGTGGCCTTTGTGTTTCAATTGTCCAAATCACCCACCTTCTGTGGCACTCCTACAGAAGGAAAAGCCTTTTTTTTTTTTTTTTGGTCTTTCTCATTAAATGGGTCCTTGACTGCCTTGTTTGTCTTGGAAGCTAGTGAAGTGGGAAGAAGTGGGAAGCTTGTCCCAGGGGTAGCCTGAGCTCTCCTGAGAGAGCTAGTGCCAAAGTTGCTGGATTACCTTTGACGTGGGATGTGTCTTTAAAGACCGTAGGCTCTTTTTCCTAATCAGTACCTCTGCTCAATGATGGCTCAGAGAGGAGAGGAGTTGAACAGACCTCGCTTGATCTCAGTTTGAGGGAGCTGGAGTTCTGGCTGCAAGACTGACAGCTCCAAATATGCGGAGGCTAATTAACAAAAATCATGTATTCTTACGTCTTTTTTTTTAAAGCTACTTCTTGACAGAGCTGCAGGCAGCTTTGTCTTTTAGAAATGAATGGAAACGGAGGTGACTGTATGCAGACGAGGGCAGCAAATGTGGCTGCTGGTTGGTGGTCAACAATCAGTTGACCTGGTAGCCGAGTCTAAATGGAGCTGCTCCTGTTAAGGCCTGTCCGTCATTTCCCTGAGTCAGGAATCGTCTGATACCACAGAGTGGTTGAGGTTGGAAGGGACCTCTGGAGATCATCTAGTGCAACCTCCCTGCTCAGCCAGGGTCTGCTAAAGCATGTGGGCCATATCCAGAATCTCCCAGGATAGAGACTCCACAACCTCTCTGAGCAACCAGTATGCCCTCCCTTGATCTAAGTAAGTAAAGACTGTTGTCCTACACTTGCACAAATGTGAGGAGCAGCAAACTCTAGGAGCTCTTTGCTGAATTCCTGCAGGGGAGGCAGGAATTCTTTGCTGAATTCCTGCAGGGGATTCTCTAAGAGTGAGAACTTCTAAAGTACCTAAGGAGAAACAACATTTGCACTGCGTTTATGTTTCTGTATCACATAAGCATACAATTTGGGAATTTTTGCAACTCCATGAAGTTTAAATTTGTCCTTTATTTTGGTATCTGCAACAGCTTGCCTAACTTGCCTGGGGTAGTCACCAGCGCAGGGAGCCCTCCACCCACCTGGTCTTTGTTTTGTTCTCGCTGGGAAGTCACCAGAGGTTGAAGCATCAGCCAAGTTCTGCTTGAGGCTTCCCCTGCAGGTCCTCTGTGGCAGCAGTTGGTAACACAGACGGGCACTTTCTGCCTCTCCTGAGACTTCTTCTGAGAAAAGATATGAGGTGCTAAGGTGCAACGTAATACATTGCTTTTCAAAAAGTAAACCTAGGTATTCCTGGTTCATTCCTGTTTCCCAGAGTAATACTTCCTCATGTTAGATACTTTCTTGACCTGTCTCTGTGGAGAAGTAAAGCAGAGCAAGAAAAAAATCTAAAGAAAAAGCTCTATTTACCTAGTTTGGTCTTTAGAAATGTCCCTGTAACACTCTCCACAACCACATGCAATGTGTTTGTGCTTCCCCTCTTCTACCTTTCTGTTTTGCCCTTCTGCTGTTGGTTTTACTCTCTCATGTTAATGTGGCTATATTTGGAAGCAAGATAAATGAGTTCGCTGCAAACCTATTAAGAGTTTGATCTACAAAGAATGCACAGAGAGGGGCAAAGAGAACAGCTTGTGCCACTTTCCTGCAGAGGAATGTTGCCTACATCATGGGAAACGATGAGCGTGGGTGGAATTCTTCAGCTTGTTTGTCAGTGTGAAGTATTTTGAATAGTGTCATTGAATATAGAAAAATCTTATTTTCACAGTCTAGATAATCCCCGGTGTTTTCTTAAACAAAGCCCTAATATGGTCCCTTTTGGGCACACAAAGAGAACAGTGCAGTGCTCAACAGTAGCCCCACAGCAGCAAATGGCCCGTGCACGCAGGAGTGCAGCGAGGGCAAAACCGTGGCCAGCACAGCTTGGTCTGGGAACTTAAAGCCACTCTGAAAGTCACCCAGCTGCTCTGTAGATACTTTGCTGGGACTCGAAACCCTATCTGCTCGCATCCAGGGTGACCATGAAGCTGACCTGATCCACATGTTTTCAGATTTGGCTTGGAAAAGTAGTTTTAATTAGTTCAAAGTAAGCTACGTTGAATTATCTCACATTTACCAGGGGGAGAGGAAGAAGAGCCAATATGAAGATAGTTACCATGGAGCAAGTGATATATAATGAAAGCCTGTTACCTTGTGCATGTTCCTACCCTGCAGTAAATGAGCTTGCTCCTATTAGCAAATCTGAGTCATTTTAAATCCCTAAGGGATGGAAAAAGCTCACTCTGTATTTGAGTAAATATATCATGCACCTTTGCTTGCATGCAAACATCCCCTCCTTTCCTGGCTGTTTCACGTGTTGCTTAGTCGTGCCACTGCTGCACACATTCATTTCCAGAGTGATTCCGTTGGCTGCTGCTGCTGCTGCAGTGTGATCCCGCTCACTGCGAAGAAAAGCAGTAGGCTCAAGATGTTAGTACGTGGCTCGCTGGTGCTCCTTGGCTGGTCCCCTGGAAGGGTATGTTTGGGCAGGCCCATCTGCAGCACGTTGGGCACAGAACTGGTACGCTGGGCGCTTGGGATTTGGGAAACCTGGGGAAAGAGCTGTGTATCTCATCCCATCCTGAATTTACATGTCGTATGGGTTAATTTTACAGGTATAACCATATACACATGTATTATCTGTATGTATTTAAATGGTGTCACTGCTGTAACTAGCTGGCGTGGTGGTCTGCAAATGCAGCCCGTCAGTGGGGGCGGCAGCCAAGGGTGAATCCAGGCCAAGTCACCCCGGCAGGACACGCAAGGAAAGCTGTTACCGTGCAAAGATTTACTGCAGGGCGAGTCATTCCTGTGGTTGCGCTGGTTGAACTTTCCTGCTTGCTTTAAAACAGGCTTAGAAGAAGGTGCCACGATGGAAGACGTGTACCTGGCTTCGGTGGAAACGGATCGCGGCGTGAAGGAGCAGCTGCGGCTCTATGACACGAGGGGTCTGCAGGAGGGTGTAGAGTTGCCCAAACACTATTTCTCTGTAGCCGACGGCTTTGTTCTCGTGTATGCTGTGACCAGCCTCGAAGCTTTCCAGAGGGTTGAACTGCTCAAAAGAGAGATCGACGTCTTTAGAGACAAAAAGGAGGTAAATGCACGATGCCTTAACTGCCTGGCTTATTAGCACACCAGCGATAGGAAGTAAGGTAGCAATGCAAAGCGGGAATTTCGTAAAGCTTGCGTACAAAGGAAAACAAATTTGCCCACAGCCTTGGGCAATCCGACAAAAGAAAGCTCTGTCATGCTGGGGAGGCCTAATTCACATGCCATGTAAGGCATGCAAAAGAATGCGTGTGTGGTTTTTGATTCCTCCCTTACTTCCTCCGGTTCAGCTAAAATTCAAATAGCTGAATGCACAAGTCAGCACACTTATGACTAATAAAACATATGGTCCGCAGCAGCGCGGCTTGTATGTTTTTGTAGATATTGTACATGGGAAGTCAAGTGCACTGAATAACCTAACGAAGGGCATTATCTTTGTTTGTTTTGCATTCACGTCCTCCATGGCTTACAAACTGCTCTAATTGACAGCGGGTCTCCCAGACATTAGTCAATTGGCAAGGCGGCTTTAATGTATTTTAACAACCATATTGAATCAATTCAATTGTGTGAAATGACTGCTCTATTTTGCCTCAGAAAGCAGCTAGTGTTTTCAGCTGACAGTGTTCCAGCTTAGCTAAGCAAATATAACTTGCATGTGGCATTACCATTATGGTTTCCTGTTCAATGTCTTCATATCCTCTAGTAGTTTTCTCTGCTAAATGCCTTCAGCCTATAGATTTCCAAATGTCTCTTTTATGCTGTTTAAAAAAAGGCAGCGGGGGGGAGAGTGCATGAGGAATAAACGGGATAGCAGTAGGGAGACGGTGGCTGAGGTGTAGCTTGCCTGGTCCCCACAGCACACGGAGGGCAGAGCCCGGCACACGGTCACGGCAGGGCCCGCGGGAGCTGCCGCCCGGCACGTAAACCAGGGCTGCCGGAGTCCGTCATAGCTACCCTGCAGGGTAAGGAAAAGTGGACAAGCAGGAAGGCTTTCCCAGGCACCGGGCGAGGACCCCGACTTGTTGCGTTAGGGCACGTTCTGGCGCAGAGAGATGGCCACAGCCCCAGCAGGACGTGTGTCCCCGCTCCTGTGCGCTGCCGGCCTCCCCGCTCTCATTCCTGGTTTAGAAAACTGCCAGTTTGCTGGTGCTTTGTGAGAACCGAGAGGCTGTGTTCTTGACTGAGAATTATGTGATGGAAATGGGGGTGCTCACAATAAACTGCATAAAATTAGTTCCATTGCTGAGACTTGCACCCCATATAAAACAAGCTCTGAAGCGGTAGAAGGTGAGACGAGGCGTTCTTAGCTAGATAGCACAAGCAGTCCTATGGCCCGGGCTCTGCTCTGTATCTCCTTAACAGAATTGAGGCTCTGTCTGCACACAGGGTGGTGCCTCTGCGCTGGCACAGCCTCCCTTGCCGAGTGACACAGTCCTCTGCTGCTCGGCCGCTGGCAGAAACGCTGGTGGCTGGTTCCTCCGCTGCCTGGGGCAGTGCTGCAGCACGCACCTTCAGCCTGGCCAGATTTTATACTAAGTAGAAGTTGTGTTGCACACACAGGCAGAACGCAGCCATAGGTAAAATTCAGTTGGAGCATGTGGTAAGCGTGTATGAAGGTGTCAGATTCTTCCAAAGTCTTTGCAAAGGGAGAAACCATCCAAATGCCATGTGCTGCCACAGAATAGGAAAGGAAGCTTCAAACCTTTCAGGAACAGGACAAACATCTCTAGCTGGAAAGAAGCAGGGCCAGGCTAACTGGGCCAGGCTTTCTCTACTGCTATGTATTTTTTCCCCCCCCAGTCTCTCAAGCATTTGCTACTCTGCTCTACTCAGATCTCATGCTCCTGCCCTTTGCTTATGGCAGCTCAATGGTAAAGTAAATGGAAAACAGGGCTGTTTGACTTCTGCTGCTTGGGGAATGGTTTCCCTTGGAGTGATCTGGGGGTGGGGATGGGAGGGGGGATCCCACCTGTCCTGTCTTTAAAGTCTGCTCCCACTTCGCAAATAGATGATGCTGATTAGAACCCATGTCCTACCCTTCTGGAATACACGCCGCTTACCTTGTGCCAGGGCTAAGTTACAGAACAGGTCTGAAGGGTGTTGCTATACGTCTGCTGTCTAAAAGCACTGCAAGTAGAAGATGCTTTTTGTGTAAAGCTCATCCTTTTCCTTGTTTGTAGGTAACTGTTATCGTCTTGGGAAACAAAACTGACCTGCTGGAGCAAAGACAAGTGGAAACAGAAGCAGCACAGCAATGGGCAAGGGCTGAGAAAGTGAGACTGTGGGAAGTGACTGTGACCGATCGTAAAACGCTGCTTGAGCCGTTCACCTTCCTGGCTAGCAAACTCTCCCAGTCCCAGAACAAATCAACATTTCCTTTGCCTGGAAGGAAGAGCAAAGGGAATAACTGCGATAACTGAGCCACCTTCACGTTGTCTGCAACGGCTAAGGACACAGCCTTGGCCCCTTCTCTGCCATGCGCTTCTCAGTTTCACCTGAAGCAATAATCTCATCCAGCAATAAAATCAGCAAGCGCACAGCTTAGAGGCACCCTTCCTTTTTGGAGGCTTGGCCTGAAAGCTACTGATGGTCACAGTTGTAAAAGTACTTCATGACAGTAACTCCTTGCAACACTGGTTACAAGGGGACGCGGAAGAGCAGCAGAGTCTTTAGCAGGTGCTTGAATTCCCTGGGTACATCCGTGTTGAGGGACAAATCAACCGGCTTATGACTAAGTAACCCCCCAGCAAACCTGCAGATCTGCAGCCTCTAGTCACAAATAGTGCTGGCTTCAATAAAACATCACATTGGGAGAACGTATGTTTGAAATGGCAGCAGTTCTTTTACCTTTGCCTTAAACAGGGCCAGCTCTAGTCACAGGGAGTTTTGGAGCTAGAGACTGGGGTCAGCACATTGTTGCAGGAGACAGGGAGAAGGAGCAGGTAAAACTGGGGGATTTAACCTCTGCTAGTGTTGGGGAGGGGGGATTGGTGGGGAAATGGGACAACAAAACAGAAAAACACCTTGTGGGAGACCTCAGAGCAAATCTACCTTGACATGAAAGTTATCAGCAAAGTCTGGAAAATAGGGCTTTCAATTTAGGAATTTATTTGTTCAAACCATAAAAGCTCTCAGGGTACTCATTAATTTAACTGCAACCTGAAGGACAACATATCTGTATGTGGTTTTGTTCCAGCATGCCCAGTACAAATCAGTCACATTGACAAAGGTGATAATTTTACCGAGAAATTATACGGAACAATTTTGTGAGCAGGAGGCTCCACACAGGAGCGCTTCGTGCATTACATAACCCTGCTCCGAAGCTGCAGTAATCCGGTGTGTGCCGAGCTCACGGCAGTGGGGACAAGGATCCGTGCTGCTGTGAGAGGGCACTAGGGTTGTAGGAGGCTCTTCTGGGAACATCCCTGCAGGAAATGCCCAGAAATACTTTGTACAAAGCTCTTGGCCTTGATAAATGGCACACTGTCCAGCAGCATGAGCACACTGCACTGCGCTCGGTTCTCCACATGGGTAAATCTGCGATGCAGGAATTTGCTGTCCTAGGTCAGCCTGTCAGTGCACAAAGCCAGGTCAAATACAGAAGGGCAGAATCAGTCCAAAAGGTTATGAGAGAGTGGGGCAGAGAGACAGCAATGAACCAGTTTTAACACCCTAACACACTAACTGATGCTCCCTTCTCTTTGTTGCTGAAGATAGGAATGGGAGAGTGGTAGTGAACTGAAGTACTCGGTTCTGTAATTTTCCATAAAATTAAGCTTGTTATCAAAAAAAAATTGAGAATTTAATTGTGAGTCAGCAAAACCACAGTGTTTGCACTGTCATATCATAACTGCTAATAGTGTATTTAATGAGCACAATTAAGCTGTGTGCTTATAGCATTGCTCTTCCTGAACCCTGACAAATCCTGTCAGCATTACTAATGTCAGAGCAACAGAGCAACAGAGCAACAATTCACTAAGAATTAAGCAAGAATTCCTATCTTTATAGCAGAGCAGACGAAACTGTTTATGTGCCTTGCCCAATACAGTTTGGATTGTTGCGGCCACGGAGTAAGATAAGGGAGTGATTACGAATGAGCCAGCCCGCGTAACGCTCTGCAAGAAACGCCATCGCTCCCCTTGCGACAGGGCGGCTGAGCAAGCGCTGCGGG